TTATATCTCTCGCATTAGAGTGAAACTCTAGTCTACCTCTCTTGCAAGTATAAAATATGGGTTCCAAGTCTCACTAAAATCAATTACACGAGTCAAAGTCCAACCCCATTAATTCCCATTAGAAGTGAATTTCACACGAAGCTACCTATGAATTGATCAGAGTACAAAAGATTGAAGTCCATGCTTTTTATCAATTACAGGAGTCAAAGTCCAACCCCATTAATTCCCATTAGAAGTGAATTTCACACGAAGCTACCTACGAATTGATCAGAGTACAAAAGATTGAAGTCCATGCCTTTTCTTTCTCTTTACATCTAATTTACCAGCCAAACCAGCTCCACAACAAGGATTACAGATTAATACTAACTAGCCAAGAAGGCAAAGCTCTTAGTCCCCGAAATTTGGCCATGGCCGGCATTACTAATGCTTATAGTGAAATAACCCCGGCGGTTCCGTTGTGGCTAAACAAAGGTGACAACGCATGGCAACTCACAGCGGCCACTTTTGTAGGGTTGCAAAGCATGCCGGGCCTAGTGATCCTTTACGCCAGCATAGTCAAGAAGAAATGGGCAGTAAACTCAGCCTTCATGGCCCTCTACGCCTTCGCCGCCGTGCTCATCTGTTGGGTCCTCGTAGGCTACCGTATGGCCTTCGGGGACCAGCTCCTCCCGTTTTGGGCTAAAGGTGCACCCTCTCTAGGTCAAAAGTTCCTCATCAGCCGAGCCAAAGTGCCCAAAAGTACTCACTTTCGTGACGATGGATCGATTGAGACTCAAACGGTTGAGCCATTTTACCCAATGGCATCACTCGTCTACTTTCAGTTCACTTTTGCAGCTATTACTCTTATTTTGTTAGCGGGGTCTGTTCTTGGCCGCATGAACATCAAGGCTTGGATGGCTTTTGTCCCTCTTTGGCTTCTATTTTCATACACTGTTGGAGCCTTTAGTCTTTGGGGTGGTGGCTTCCTCTATCATTGGGGTGTAATTGACTACTCCGGTGGTTATGTCATCCATCTCTCCTCGGGCATCGCAGGTTTCACCGCCGCTTATTGGGTAGGTACTTACGATTAAACGCATTTTAGAAAATATCATGCACATAAACGAAACATCAGTAGAGAATCCTTAAACCCATTTTCGAAACCCTTTCTAGATCAAATTTGACCTATTTGAAAATGTTTCTCTAAAAAGCACCTCATAAGCGCTTTATTGAAAATATTCACTAAAATTTCAAGTGCTTATTTCTTCAAAAACACTTAAAAGTGTTGGCTTAATTTTCAGGTGCTTTATAACACATAAACACTTCTATTTTGTTTTTCTGTTACTTTTGGTTATCGGTTTTAGCCATTCTATGAGAACTTCCAAACATCTTTAATTTTAGAATTTGAACTAAGTTAAAAAAATTTAGATGTAATTATACTACGTTTACCTATGTGTTCTAGGTTGGTCCAAGGTTGAAGAGTGACAGGGAGAGGTTTCCACCAAACAACGTGTTGCTAATGCTTTGTGGTGCTGGGATGCTGTGGATGGGCTGGTCAGGTTTCAACGGCGGGGCCCCTTATGCTGCAAACATTGTTGCTCCAATAGCAGTGTTGAACACAAACATCTGTGCAGCCACCAGCCTTCTTGTATGGACGTCTCTCGACGTTGTGTTCTTCGGCAAGCCGTCGGTGATCGGAGCTGTTCAGGGCATGATGACGGGGCTCGTATGCATCACACCTGGGGCGGGGTTGGTGCAGTCGTGGGCAGCTATTCTGATGGGAATGCTTTCTGGTAGCATTCCATGGGTCTCCATGATGGTCCTACACAAAAAGTCTGCCCTATTGCAAAAGGTAAGACTTTCTGCTTTCCGCACTCAACATTTTTTGGTATTGTTTTTTGGCATATGATACGCATGCATTGTGTATTTTCCCTTCAACGTCGGCTAAATATTTGTTTTTCATGTTCATATTATGCAAAATCATGTTGTTTAAAACTAAACGTTTTGAAGTATTTATGTTCGTTGAATTTTGTTTGATTTATCAATTTAATAATAATAAATTAATAAGACAAATAAAATTGTGCATGATACTTTTATTTCAGAAAATTTTAACTCAAGTGACATTTGATACAATCGAGTTAGTGTGAAAATAAAGAATCTTAATTAGGTTTAAGTCTCCATCAAACATTTTAATTTGTTTTATTCTTTATTTCATAAAATATTCATCAAGCTTACTTTTTTTTGTGAAAAACGGAGCTAAAGCCCAAAAAATTACGAGATGGCACGAGGACAAGAAATACCTAAAACATCATCGTTCAAAAGGAACCTAATATAATCAGAGGGCCAATATAGATAATATTAATCTATCCCAACTCTTTTTGCCCTAAGCTTTGTAGTATTCAAAATTTTCAACCTTATAGTCCCACCAAAGTCATAACATCCATCATTTTCAACTATACAAGTATATTATAATCGTTCCCTTATCCTTCAAATTTGTACCTTCATCGAGTGCAGATTGACCAAATGAAATAGCCACCTTTCAGACGATTAGGTTTTCTAGAAGATTTCCATTAGTCCTCTGTCCTCTTCCCGTAATGCTTGACCAATCATCAATGAACAAAATATGATAAATAAAATAAAGGGTTCTTTAGTATAAACTCATGCAACACTTATTTCCTTAACAAAAATCCATCTCGTTTTAAATATTCAAATAAAACCCAAATTTGAAATAAATTGCCATGTAAACAAATAAATACCTATTATTTTCAAAATATATACAATTGTACCACAACACTAATTATGTTGATGAATTTAATTACCACCATAATTATAGCAAATAAGTGCTTTATTATTACAAAATTATCTACTTTATACTTGTCTTACCATCATATGTTCCGTTTCTTTTATTTGTTTGACAATCATTGTAGGTAAATTATTTTGCATGTATAAGTTAGGCACATTTTGTTGTTATTATATTTGTGTGAAATAAATTACCTATATTTTTAAGTAGAATAAGGGTAATTAATTAACTTTGAATCAATTGGCTAAAAACATTATTTTATTTTGTAGGTAAATAATTTTGCATGTATTATTACATATACTAGGCACATTTGTTATTATTATGTGTTGTTTGCAATCAATCAACATTCATTTATTTTGTAGGTAAATTATTTTGCATGTATTATTACATAAGTTAGGCACATTTTGATATTATTATATATATGTGTATGGAAATAGCTTAAATAACTTTTGAATCAAACAGTATTTATTTATTTATTACTTAGGTAAATTATTTTGCATGTATTATTTTACCTGAAACTTATATTGTTATTTTATATATGTAAAATATTGGTAATTTTGAATAAAATAACATTTGTATATTTGTAAAAAAAATGCTAATTTATTTGTTACAATTATTTGAAAAGGAAAAAAAGCTCATTTTTACATAAATATGAAAACAACTATATAAGGAAACAAAACTCTAATGACACTCAAAATTTTCTTTTTCAAATCTGCATAAACATTTCAAAATGTTTAATTGAATGAAATAATATAAAATAAATGTAGATAACAAGTAATAAACCCAAAGTCAATAATATTAGGGGTAATTTAGACATTCAAAAATACCAATTTTGCCAAGTGATACTTAATTATGGATATTGCTTAGTTGGAGCCTAGTCATTGGGTTTTTATTAGAAAATTTTACAATTGGGGGTTTTAGTTAATGAAAATTGAATTCCAAGGGGTATACTCATATTTTCAGTAAAATAAAAGAAGAGCGTATTTAAGTTAGATCAGTTGGTTAGGATAGTGTATTCGCTCTTTATACCGAATTTCAAACCGCTTTTGTAAATTAGAATAACGTAGAACATTGTCTTATTGTCACGTACAAAAAATAAAAATCTTACTGTGTCTAATTTGTGATTATTTACAGGTGGATGACACCCTAGGGGTATTTCATACACATGCAGTGGCAGGGCTTTTAGGAGGACTGCTGACTGGGCTTCTGGCAGAGCCAGCACTTTGCAGGCTTATGCTGCCTGTTGGCAACAGCAGAGGTGCATTCTACGGTGGCAGTGGAGGGATGCAATTTCTGAAACAATTGGTTGCAGCCATGTTTGTGATTGCTTGGAACATAGTCTCCACCACTATCATACTTCTGGCAATTAGGGTTTTCATACCTCTGAGAATGCCGGAGGAGCAGCTTATCATTGGAGATGACGCTGTTCACGGAGAAGAGGCTTATGCTCTTTGGGGTGACGGAGAAAAATATGACCCGACAAGACATGGTTGGAATACATCGGCGTATGGTGAAGAAATGGCACCGTCGCCGTATATCAATGGTGCCAGAGGTGTGACCATTAACTTGTAAACACCTACTGCACTATGCCGGATGCATGTTTCATATGATCACATAATTAATATGTAGGTATTTGTTACCTGTAAGTAGAAGTTTTGAACAATTTTCCACTAAATCGTTTGAAATTTGAACGTGATTGCGTGATGGGATGATTTCGTCCGAATGTCATTTATGACCACTTTGTTTTGAGACTGTAACACATGTGATAGACAAACACCGTCAAAAACATTAAGTTAAAATAGTGTTTGTATGACAAAATCTCTCCTAATATTCCATTTGTGATAGTTTAGTCCAAATTTGACCACTGTGGAGACATTATTTTCAGACAAACAATAATTCTTTCAACAGATTCAGTGCACGACTCTGTATCCATAATTGGTGGAAACCTTGTATCAATAATTTAAGGTCATCAAAGTAGCACAAACGACTGATCATGGCAGATTCTCCATGGCCTCAACAGTAATACCCTGCAATCAAGAACTCGACGTGTGTCGTTAACCCATTTGTCCATCCAATCCTATATCTCCGGTCAAGAGTGCACCCTGTGTTCAATTTCTGAAGCAGGTAACTCTTTTTATACAAGCAATACCGGGAGGGGGAATCAAACTCAATACCTCGAGCGCAGGAGATAAATGCTCTGTAAATGGAATATAAGAAGACGAGTAACATAACACGCAAAACGAATCAATTATAAATCCAAAATATACCAAATCCATTTGATCTGAGCAGATGGTAGTTTCCTTTACAGTGATTTAAGGCTGTTATACAAACCCTTGAACTGTGAAAGTGGGTACCAGTTCCCAAAAATAGCTACTTTGCATGCTAAAGTATCTAATGTTCCACTATGAATCCTGAAACTCAGAAAAGCAGAGAGAACTTTTGGCTAATCGAAGTGTTCCCATTCCTGATTTGGTTCTGTTGACGATGGCTCTGGCGTTGCGGTTGGGGGATCTAGGCATCCAACTCCCGAGTCAAAGGTCTCCCACTTGGTTGTTACTGCGGTAGCATCGCTACTGTTTTTAACTGGATTGCTGTTCCTCGCCTTTAGAGCATCCAATGCATCCACAAAGTTCTGGACACGTCGCACCTGTACAAGAAAGTCGTTAAACCAGCCATAACAGATCTCTAATCGTCTATGCAACTTCAAAATTTTGAAACAAATTATAAACTAGCCATTACATACTGACGTTCCAATGTGCTTATTGCAACAAATAAATTTTAAGCAGAGAGAGAAGCGAGAAAATAAACCCTGGGATTACAGTCCTATAGGTTTTCCGGAGAGAAGAGGAGAGAGAAAAGAGGGCGGGGGGGGGAGGGGAGGAATATTATAACTATTGGGATTTCGAAGAGAGGTAACCGATCTCGTAATGCTGATCCATTAAAAATATAATAGCTCCAAGTGCACAAAGTAATGGAATTCCATTCGCAAATACCAACATCAACACATAATGCTACTCTATGAAAATAATGACCTCAAGTGTAAGACACATGATACATAGCAACCAAAGAAAGCCAACAATGCTGCTTATATAGAGCAATCCTTTAGTTGTTTCAAGCAATACAATGAAATGATCTATGTGGTGGAAGCCCTCAAGTGGAGTCTACTATATGCAAAGATACTGAAGTTGGGCCCAAAGGACAAGTATGAACTGACTACTAAGGGCAATTGTGTGTCCTATTACATATGTAACGGGAATGACCATAGCATATAGGTATGCATCCAACCTTTCCTCACAAACAATTTACAAGAAACCACGTGGGGCTCTTGAAATTAACACCGAGGTAGAATCCTAAATAGAATCCTGATAATGAATCTTTTGATTGTCCTTTCCCATCACTTCACATTGCTCCAATCACCCTGACCATTGGCAGGGCTACCATCTCACCACCAGAATGCATCAATTTTGACACAATGCATGCCACAATAAAGAAATTTTCACCTCCCTATCTATAAACTACAACAACCCTCAACACCGATGATCACAAGAACTTCATTGTGTGATCAGCACAACACAGCACATCATTTCCACGAGAACAAACACAATGCATGGCAATTCCATCATAAGAAACCAACAATCATGAAAAAACACAAACCTCTGCCCTGCGTTGCATTTTTTCTTCTCCTTCAGCTTGAATGCTGTCCAATTTCAGCAACTGCCTCATGAGCAACTCTGTTGACACAACAAATTCTTTATCGGAAACCTTGGTCCCGCCAGCCACAGCCACTTCCAAGGCAGCAACCTTTTAAAATCAAACAAAACATTGAGAGTCCCAAACCAATCTAACATTCTGGTAACCAAACACAACCGGGACATGGAACTCACCCTCTCTGCAAGCTTATCAACCTCGGCTATGACTTCAGCAATTGCACAAGAAGCTTTTGACATCACATTGCTTTTGGCTCCAACCTGTCCACCATTGTTTGGCATCTCTTTGCTGTTGACTCCAACTTCTCCAGCATTGTTTGGCATCTCATTGCTTTGATTTACCTCCTCAACCTTACTCTCCTTTCGGGCCTCCAGAAGCAGCACCTTCGAGTTATTCTTCACACCAACAATGTCCAGATGCTCCTCATCTGCCTTCTCCACCCCCCTGAAAAAGAGTCTCTGCTCCTCTGGCTCCAAATCAGCCTTCTGTGCAAGATGTTTCTTCATATCACCTGACAACAGCCAAAATGATATCAAGGACTAAACCCCTCACAACTCTCTTCCATTATTTTTTTTTTGTCAAAAAAAAATAAAATAAAATAAAAAATAAAATAAAAAATAATGGAAGAGAGTTGTGAGGGTTTTAGTCCTTGATATCATTTTGGCTGTTGTCAGGTGATATGAAGAAACATCTTGCACAGAAGACTGATATGAAGAAACCCCTCACAACTCTCTTCCATTATTAAAAACACTAATTTGGAGAAATACGGGATTTTCACCAGGAAGCCCTTGATAAGGATAGAATTAGATAAAACACTTAAAAACCCAAAACTCTGGAAACAATTCCCGGTCTTTGTAATTTGCGGACACCAAAGAAATTTCACAACTAAGAATCACTTAGAGTATCAAAATTCAAAAGTGGAGAAAGCGAGAATTTTTTTCCCCAAATTAAGAACTTGACGTGTTTTCATACAAAACTTATAGTTGTCGGAATGTTGTTCCTAATTTACCGAATACCACTCGACCCAACTATTATTCCACTTCCCCCATAGATTATATGTTGCTAGGTGAGGATTTTCTTCTTCTTTTCTTCTATGGTTTGATTCTCGAAGTGTTCTTCCCTAACATTAGTAGTTGTCAAGGGTGCTACACTAATTAACTAAAACCCACCAAAATTTCGATCCAACTAATCATGATTTACTCTCGTAATTAGCAAACAATACTTCAATTAACCATTAGAAACAGCAATCAAATCATAACAGTGACAGTGAATATGATTAAAATGGAAGATAACATCAGGAGTGAAAGAATAATACCGAAAGTGGAGTGAGCAGGGAGGAAGAGCTCGAAGTGGGGCCCGTTGCCCGGGCCGAGAACTACGTCGATCTTCATCATGGGCCCCCGAAATGAGGCGGAAGCACCACCACCAGCAGTCGCCGAGGCGTCATCCTCGGCTTCCCGCCTCTGGACCAGCATGCCACCTGGGCGCATCTCCCAATCAATCTCCTCGTCCTGATCGGGTACCAACGCTTTCGGACTCGGGTTCGGGTTCGGGTTCGGATTCCTTTTCACCATCGTAAAAAAATGGGGCGGGAATCGAGTGGTGGTAGTAGTGAGGGTATTGACTAGTTAGCGACAGAGTGAGGGTTTGAGGGGGAGAGAGAGATGATCGGAGGGTTTCAACGGAACGCGTTTCGTAGAAGGGTGTGGTCGGTTCCACTCCATCATTCCGAGTCCGACGTCAAAAGGTTATTTGGGCGGTGCATTTTTCATCACATATTTTGGGGGTGGATTTTCGAATAACCAATAAATGTGGAAAATATACTTATGGGAGTGAATAATAACTAATGAGGGAGTGGATATAATAAAATTGTAAAGTCTTTGTCGTCGTATATCAAATGTTATAGTACAAATGACTTACTATTTTGAAAAGAAAAAAAAATATTAACCACATGTGCTAGTCTACAAATTCTTTTACTTACTATCGTTCTTTTTGTTAGTAGAACTATTTGATAATGCTTTAAGAAAAAGTCATTTGTCTTTTGGCAGACAACCGATAATGCTATTATTTTTTTTGAAGCACTTTTGATGTTAAATATAGTGTTTGGGTGTCACAAAGAAGAGATTGGGACTAAGAAAAAAATCAAAACTAACTTTATATGTTTTCAGGATTTAGGCATGGTTTTTGAGTTATTTTCAAGTCTAATTTCTTAAAATGGTCTATCAAAGAAGAATTCAAGATTTGTAACTCAAAAACAGTTTTTAACTTGAAAAACTTGTACTCAAACAGAGTATTAAACAGACCCTAAGCAATTTATGATTAATTTGACAAAAGATTATGTATTTAACTGCTCCGGTTGTTGGAAAGAAGCGTATTGACCAGTTAATTTATGCTTGATTTATCCGTTTCTAGGGTTAAAATCTTCTTTACATTGTGTAGCCACAAAGAAAAAACAAACTAAACATCTTATTATGAATTTGCCGAGTGTGAATTTGAAAGGTCAGCAACGTTATGTGATTTGTCAAATGATTTATAATTAAAGATGAAATGGTTATTAAACGAGTTTCGACCGTGATTTGGAAATAATAAAATAAAATGTTACATATATGAAACAAGGTGTAGTTTTACATTTTTTAACACGTCTGTGTAATTACTAAATTTGGGGCATCATAAAGAAGAGGATAAGGTGCTTTATTTGGGGCTCAATAAAATTTTGTTGGGAATTTCAATTCGGACAAGGAAAAAGAGCATCCCACACCACAATTATATAGATTAACTACCCTCTAGATAAGATTTGAAATGATACTTGGAGGCTCCTCAAACTCCAAAATTTTGTGACGTAGATAAACCAAAACGCGCCAGCCTATGATGCAGCACAAAGCGAAAAAGGATTACAAGCGTGAATCTTTAAAGAACTAAAATCTGAAATCCACCGGTTGTTTGAGAGAAATCCTAAAGACTTTTTTTTATTAAAGATTGAACTGATACAACAACAACAACAACAAAACCTTTTCCCACTAAGTGGGGTCGGCTATATGAATCCTAGAACGCCATTGCGCTCGGTTTTGTGTCATGTCCTCCGTTAGATCCAAGTACTCTAAGTCTTTTCTTAGGGTCTCTTCCAAAGTTTTCCTAGGTCTTCCTCTACCCCTTCGGCCCTGAACCTCTGTCCCGTGGTCACATCTTCGAACCGGAGCGTCAGTAGGCCTTCTTTGCACATGTCCAAACCACCGTAACCGATTTTCTCTCATCTTTCGTTCAATTTCGGCTACTCCTACTTTACCTCGGATATCCTCATTCCTAATCTTATCCTTTCTCGTGTGCCCACACATCCAACGAAGCATCCTCATCTCCACTACACCTACGTGTTGATGCTTCACCGTCCAACATTCTATGCCATACAGCATTGCCGGCCTTATTGCCGTCCTATAAAATTTTTCCTTGAGCTTCAGTGACCTACGACGGTCACACAACACGCCGGATGCACTCTTCCACTTCATCCATCCAGCTTGTATTCTATGGGTGAGATCTCCATCAAATTCTCCCGTTCTTTTGCAAGATAGATCCTAGGTAGCGAAAACGGTCGCTCTTTGGTATTTCCTGATCTCCGATCCTCACCCCTAACTCATTTTGGCCTCCGTTTGCACTGAACTTGCACTCCATATATTCTGTCTTTGATCGGCTTAGGCAAGGACCTTTAGATTCCAACACTTCTCTCCAAAGGTTAAGCTTCGCGTTTACCCCTTCCTGCGTTTCATCTATCAACACTATATCGTTTGCGAAAAGCATACACCAAAGAATATCATCTTAAATATTAAGTTTGTGATCTTCGCTAGATTGCTCCGGTCATTAGTGTGGATAAGTATGTAAATGGATAGAGACAGGAAGCAAACACAAGATGTACGTGGTTCACCCAGATTGGCTACGTCCACGGAGTAAAGGAGTTCTCATTAATTGTGAAGGGTTTACACAGTATATAGGTTCAAGCTCTCCTTTAGTGAGTACAAGTGAATGATTTAGTACAAATGACATTAGGAAATATTGTGGAAGAATGATCTCGTAATCACGAAATTTTTAAGTACCGAAGTGTGGTATCGTCTTCACTTGCCTTATCTGTCTCATAGGTAGATGTGGCATCTTCTTTGGAAGTACTCTTCCTCCCTCCAAGGGTGGTATCTTTAACTGGTGGAGATGCACAAGGTAATGTATCAATTTCACTTGACGCTTACTTGTAGTTTCAGGCTTGGTCAAGCGTGATACAAATCATGTAGTAGGAGTCCCCCAAGTCGCCGAGCTAGGGGATCTGCTGAAAGAGGTGACAGACAAGGTAAGCAATCAGAGCTCCAAGCAATTAGTCCCAGATCAGAAGTTTGATTTCGAGTTCCGGTTGATTGTTATCCTTCTCCTTATCTTGCAGGTAGCATGAAGGATAAAGAGAAGAAAATGAGAAAATGTGATATGAGATACTTTTGCTTTTGAAGAAGTAACAACTTAAATATATAAGTCATTTACAACTCCTTTCGACAACTCAAAAACTAGGAAATTCAACGAAAATAAATGACATTAATCGGATGGAAATGGAAGGTCCAATTTTTATTAGAGAAATTAAAAATGTGTTTTAGAGGTTAAAACGATCCTGGATGGCTAAAAGGTATCATGAGTCCAAATTAGAGAAATTAAAACTGTGTTTTAGAGGTTGAAACGGTCTTGAATGGCTAAAATGTATCATGAGTCCAAATTAAAGCTCAAACGCCAAACTTGCAATTCATGATGCATCCTTTTGTCTTCCAACGGTCCATTTTTCTTCAATCCATTCGGTCATTTGTTCTACAGCAGCCTATGTGCCACTGAATTCGTTCGTCTATAATTTTGCTTCTTGAGATCAAAGTTTCATACCAAAACTAAAAGATATAAGAAATAACTAACAAACACAGAAATAGCCAAGACAGATTTCTGAAACATTCACATGTATGCACCACCTCCAGGTAAATCCAAAGTCTCTGGATAAGTAACTGCTTCAACGTCGTTTTCGTCGTCAGCCTCGATAATAATTCTGTATGTTTTTTGCCTGGGATTATAGATCACCAAGATCCTTCCCTCATGATCCAGCAAAACTTCACCACTCTCGAAAATGCATACAGGCATCACAGTAAGATCACAAAAGTCAACAAAAATCTGTCTAGCTAATCTCGTTGATGAAATTTTCGCGACTCTTGTCCAAGATTCCTTGACTCCATATTCCTTCATAATCCATATCGAAAAAGTTTTATCCTGGAGCGCTGAAGTATACACAAAGAGACAGTCTTGGCTGGTCCCGATTCCGACGAATATATCTCTATCGTCACGTTGGGGCAATGACAGTGTGCTCTTAAAATTTTCTTCTGCTAAATCAAAAGAGACAATCTTGGAACTTCTTCTCTGAAGCTGGATCCAGTGAAGAGCTCCATTTAAGAAGCAGCCCCGTTGATCATTCTTCTCAAGATAATACAGGCCTCGACAAGTCCTCCATGAATTCGATTTAACTGTAAAGACATGTATCATGGATCGGAAAGGTTCTTCAGTTGAAGTTGTACTGTCACGACTGCCCAATATTAACTTGTAATCTTCAGCGGAGGAATCGTACCCTAATCCGTAAAATATCTTATTACGGTCAACATAAGGAGGTTCCGGTAACACATTGGTATCTCCGGTGGAAGGGTTCCATAAGATAATGTTGTAAGGGAATTCGCCAAAGTCAATTTCTAGACATACCAAACCGTTGCACGAACCCAAAATATCGATAACCATATCTGGTTTAATTACTGACGGATAATTGAGCACTCTGGTTGAAACAACATCATCATTATAGTCTATGGAAAGGAGATCGAGATGGTCGTCTGACATTTTTGCAACGAAGAGCTTGAAGTTGTTCTTGCTGGTGCTTGTGACTACTGTGTTTCTCTGGTGTTGCGCAACGAACTGAGGATTGGAGATTACATGAAGCCATGGTTTGCACACACACCGAAATCGCATTAAAGATTTAACCGGCAGCCTCGAGAGTATGTCGAGTTTGATTTCATCAGGGAGGCTGGGCGCCATTGAATGGGAAATTTTGCGAGACTTCATAAGGGTACTGAACAAGAATACCAAAAGATTAATATATAGACACACACATTCACACAATAGTACTCTTTGCTCAACATTAAACTGAACATATCACACACAATGCTCTTTACTCAACATTAAACTGAACATATCTAGCTAGGATTTTATATAGTGGGAAACTGAACCACGAGTAGTTATATTCATGAATCGGCACTCACTTCAACCAATACCAAAATGATTATTTATGGCTCATTTAAGATTCACTTATATAGAAAACGCTTATGCTATGCTTGGAAGAGTTTTTGCTAGAAATTCTTTTTATTAAAAATTTGGTCTACCGGGCATTACTCCTATTAGAACCTCTTTGGAATTTGTTATGAATATCTAAGTGCTTCTCAAGTTCTTTTGACATCTTATAAAATTAAATGATTCTTTCAACCAAAGATCGATTATGCAATTGAACTAGCTATTCAAAATAAGATAGTATTACTAGCTTCATTATTTCTAGAGATTAAACACAAGCAGCGTCTTTCAGCCATAAAAGTTGTAAGATCCTGAATTCCTCTCCCCTTAATATTCCAATAATCAATGTAGATTATCCTATCATTTGTTAAATACAAAAATAAAAAATAAAAAAATAAAAAATCAGTGTGCCCAGATCACGAAGTTGTACATCACATGTTATTATAAGTGGAGGGAAAATTTATTCTTCAAGTGACCCTCAATTTATTTAATGTCATGTGCTGCATCATCCCGTATCTTGGACACGTTAAAAAAATTCTCGTCAAACACAAAACACTCACACAACAATATATACGCAATAAATAAATAATAAGAGGAATATGAGATACACGAATTTGTACTAGAACTGCCAAACTCATCTTAGGATGTGAAAAAGAACGAGAGAATCACATGAAAACAAAACATGGAAATAATTGTAGAGATAAATGAGCTAAGGGGTTTAATTACCTCAACTTATCGCTTTATATGGTGATTGATATTTAAAGCAGGTCTAGAAACAAATGAGTTATAGCTAAGGAAGCCGTTTAGCAGACCCAAAAGTTGAATCCATTATCCACTCCCACTAGGTTTTTGAGCAGTCTCCAATATTTCCAGCAATTGGTGCAAACCAACAATGCTTGACCCAAACTAAGATAAAGACTCACTCTTGACTGTTTTTTCCTCTTTCATTTGTAATAAAATGATAAGAAGGAAGTCAAAAATTAGGGGAAGAGGTAGGAAAAGAAGCTAGTGAAATGTATAAGGTGTCAATAGCACTTCCAGGAGTATGCTTAATTGCTTTGGATATATATAGATTTAATGGATATGTGATTTGAAATGAAATAAGTAAGAAATGAAATAAGTTACGCAATTTAATTGTAGGTTAAAGATACCTTACCTATTACGGAAATAAGCAAGAAATGAAATAACTTACGCAATTTAATTGTAACGGTAGGAAGAAGTGTGATTTACCCTAAAACAATTACTTGAAAAAAGGACGTTGAAGACCCAAAAGCAAACCTTTTACCAGAACATATATATTCTCAAACTAACAACTTCAAGATAAACGCCCACTTAGTACTATAGTCTAATGAGATTCTTCTTCACTTGTAAGTGAGATGTCTTTGGTTTGATTCTCATCAAAGGTAAATTTGAACCACATTACTGCTAACCCATTGTAAGGCTAAGTCCGCCATCACCCCATTGTAAGAATAGTGAAGTGAAGAAAACCGATATTCAAGTGAAAGATGAATCTATGGTTGAGTGACACTTGTCAAGAGATTACATAGGTTGTTATTGATAGAGATAGGTTGTGTGGCTAAGATTATGCGACTTGTATGAAGATTAGAGTGTCTGTTAGTTAGGTTGTTAGAAGAATTGAGAAATGTATAAATGTTGTGTAATATACTTGCTTAATAGCTAAGAAATCAATATACTGAAGTTCTTCATTTTTCCTACTTTTCTCTCTCTCTCTCTAAAATCTCTTGAATTCTGTTTTCTCTCACATTACATTTCTGTAGATTAACATGGTATCAATCGCCATGAAAGCTCACGCTTAATCTTCGATCTGAAGCTTTCGCAGCTCTGATACTTCGTCTTCTTCTGATCTCTCGCTTCTTCACGGTGTTTCTTGCTCGAATTGCTTCCGTCTTCTCTAGAATCTAGGGTTTCTTTTTGCTCCCTGGTGCTTTGCAACTGCGTTCTGGTTGTTTCTTCGTCTTCTTCAATTCGTGCACTCCAGGTGTTTGGTGTTTTTTCTCAGAGAAAATTCGGTCGTTTTTTTATCAGTCATTTAGCAAACATGGTTACTGCTTCTCAATTATAGCTCCTTCAATCACCAATAATTTCCCTAGTTTCATCAATTTCTACATCTGTGAATGTTAAGCTAGATGATTCAAACTATCTCAATTGGCATTTTCAAATGAAATTACTGCTTGAAAGTAACGGAATTTTAGGGTTTGTTTATGGTACTCATCTATGTCTTGCTTGACATTCATCTCCATCTGGAGACTCTGATTCTTCTAATTCATCTGATAATGATGAATATTTGATTTGGATGATGCATGATAAAGCTCTGATGCAGTTTCTCATTGCCTATTTGAGTCATGTGGCTATGTCGTGTGCTATTGGTAGTACAAGCTCTAAGGATCTCTGGATTAGATTGAAAGAACAGTTCTCCACTGTCTCTAAGACTAGTATTTTTCAGATGAAATCAAACCTGCAAACATTTAAAAAGGGCTCCAACTCTGTTGCTCAATACTTACAGAAAATCAAATAGGCCAAAGATTATCTTTCTATTGCTGGAATCTATTTTGTTGATAAAGATATTGTCATACTTGCATTGAATGGTTTACCAGCAAAATATAACACATTTCGAACTGTGATAAGGAGGCGTGAGAATGTTATTTCTCTAAAAGAGTTTCGGTCCCAACTTCTTGCTGAATAGGCTATTTTGGAGTCTATTGTCAACGCACCATTTATGACAGCTATGGTTGCAAATAATTCAACTCAAAAAAGAGCCTATTAAATATGGTTCTACACCTGGTGGATTCAAGCAGTTCAATGCTTACAAGAACAAGGGAATGGGCAGGTTTAATCAAAATAACATAAGCTATTTACCAAGGCAGTACCTTCCTACTCAAACACATGTTATACAAACTCCAAGTCCTGGTGTACTTGGTGCATTTCCCAATCAGCATCAATCTAATTCTCATCCACAGCAAGGGTATCAATACTCTTAAATGAATTCTTATCCACAACAAGGGTCTTCCTCACGAGTTCATGGACATGAGTTTCAATCTTAAGCACCAATGCAGGCCTTTCACACTATGGTGTCACAGCCCACCCACTCAGCAGTCTCCTCATCTCCTTCATAAGTATGGCTCACTGATTTAGGAGCCACAAACCACATGACTGCTGATCTTTCAAATCTGTCTTTGGCTTCTCCTTATCCCACTAATGAAGTCATTCAAACTGCAAGTGGTGAAGGTTTGCATGTATCACACATTGGTAACACTGTTATCAAACCTTATATACATCCTATAAAACTGAATTTTGTGTTATATATGCCTAAAATTATCACATAATCTTTTATCAGTGCACATAATTTGTTTGGACAATAACTGTTGGCTTATATTTGATGCCTTCTATTTTTGGATCCAGGACAAGGCCACAAGGAGGATACTCTACAAAGGACTGTGCAGTAATGGACTTTACTTAATCTCTTCTCGTGCCAATGTTTGTTCTACAACTTCTTAAGGCATGGTTCATCATAAAGCCCTTCTTGGTCAGCTTGTTAACTCTACTATCTGGCACAATAGATTAGGCCATCCATCTAATTTTGTTGTGTCTCTAATGTTGCATTTCCTAAAAAATTCTAGTCTTGTAATTTTTCAAAGCTGTTTAGAGGGCAAATTTTGCAAACTTCCCTTTTTCTCCAAGTGTCAATAAATTTATAATTCCATTTGAAGTGGTGCATAGTGATCTTTGGGGTCCTGCACCTTGTGTATTTGTGGATGGATATAGGTACTATATTACCTTCATTGATGAATGTACCAAGTATTCTTGGATTTTCCCTTTGGTTAATAAATCCGATCTTTGTGCTACTTTTGTTGGTTTTCATGCTTATGTCCTTACTCAATTCTCTGCAAAAATAAGAATATTGCAAAGTGATGGTGGTGGTGAGTACATGGGTAAATCCTTTCAGTCATTTCTTCTACAAAATGGCATCTCACATCAAAAACTATGCCCTTATACCCCGGACAAAATGCTATGGCTGAATGAAAACATAGACATGTTATTGAAACCACAATTACACTACTTCAAATAGCTAAATTGCCTCCTAAGTTTTGGTCATTAGCACGTCAAACAATGATTTATCTTATTAATAGGATGCCTACTCCCATTTTATCCAATAAGTCTCCATTTGAAGCTTTGTATGGTGCAGTTCCAGTGATTCAACACTTATGAACTTATGGATGTGCTTGTTACCCTATTCTCAGACCATATAATACTACAAAACTTCAACCCAAGACAACCAAATGCATATTTCTGGGTTATGCCTCCAAATACAAAGGGTTCATATGTTATGCAGTTTCTCAGCACATGTTCTTTATTTCTAGACATGTTGTGTTTAGTGAGCAAGAATTTCCTTATACAGATTTATTGGCACATACCAATCCTATATACTCATGTTCTGTGAATTCTAATGTTCCTCCCCTTGTAGTTACATCACAAAATGTAGTCACCATGTTATCCCATAACACAAACACAAATCCAGTACCATCTACCTTGTTTCCAACTTCAAGTCAAACTCACTTACCCCTACATTCCTCCATTGTTGCATTGTCTCCTCACATATCTCAATCATCATCTCTTTCATTAAATACACAGAGGCCTCTTTAGTCCATACCACCACTCAATCTACATCATATGGCACTTGATCATAGTTTTGATACACTTCAAGTGGTTCATTCCATACCACCACTCAATCTACATCATATGCAGACTAGGAGTAAGAGTGGGATCAGCAAGAAAATTGTGTTTTTATCTACACTTGTTGCTTTCAAGGATGTTGATATGTCTCTCTGTGAACCTTCAACATACAAATCAGCTCTTAAGAGTTCAGTTTGGTTTCAAGCCATGCAGGAGGAAATCAGTGCATTACATGGTTAAGGAACATGGAGTTTGGTTTCATTACCAGCTAATAAAAATCTAGTAGGGTGCAAATGGGTCTTCAAAATCAAGAGGCATTCAGATGGCTGCAAGGCATAAAGCCAGATTGGTTGCCAAATGATTCAGTCAAGAACTTGGTTTTAACTATAGTGAAACTTTAGTCATGTTGTTAAACCAACCACAGTGAGGATCGTCTTAGCACTTGCTGCACACTTCAATTGGTCTCTTAGGCAACTTGATGTTAAGAATGCCTTTCTACATGGCATTCTCCAAAAGGAAGTGTACATGGCCCAGCCACCTGGCTTTGTGGATCCACAGAATTCCTCATTAGTGTGTAAATTGCACAAGTCTCTCTATGGATTGAAGCAGGCCCCAAGGGCATGGAATGATAGGTTCACTACTTTTCTGCCTAAATTGGGATTTCAAAATACATACTCAGATTCTTCCTTATTTGTGAAAACTGTTGGATCACATATTGTGATATTATTGTTTTATGTTGATGACATAATCATCACAGGAAGTGCAACCACTGAGATACAACAAGTGATCACTGATTTAACATCTGAGTTTGATATCAAGGACTTAGGTCCTCTTCATGTTTTTTTTTTTTTTTGGGATTCAGATTTCTACGACTCCCAATGGTTTGGTTTTGTCCCAACAAAAATATGTCCAAGAGTTACTTGCTAAAACAAAAATGATTGACTCAAAAGCCTATGATACACCTTGTCTTCCCTACAACAGGTTATTAAAAGATGATGGTGAGCCCTATTCTAATCCCACATTACATAAAAGTGTGGTAGGTGCTCTACAATATCTCACATTCACAAGACTCGATATTGCCTTCTCTGTGCGTGCATTAAGTATGGCAGTTCATGCAAAATCTAATAGTCTCTCATTTCACTGCAGTAAAACGGATCTTCAAATATTTGAAAGGAACTATGGATGTTGGCATTTCTTATTCACGAGGTGATTTGGCCTTACATGCTTTTAGTGTTGCGGATTGGGCAAGTAATCCCAATGATCGCTGCTCTACAACCGGCTTGGTTGTGTTTTTAGGAAATAATCCCATTTCCTAGTCTTCCAAGAAGCAACAAACCGTATCCAGGTCCTCCACTGAGGTTGAGTATCGAGCTTTGTCTTCTACAATGGCCGAGCTTGATTGGATTCACCAAATTCTTGCCTTTCTTCAAATTCCCATATATGCACCTCCTGTGTTGTTTTGTGATAATCTTTCTGCTATAGCACTCTCCTTCAATCCAGTTCAACATCAACAGACCAAGCACATCGAGGTTGATGTGCACTTTGTTCGGGAGAGGGTAGCAACAAACAAGCTTCTGGTGCAGTTTGTGTCATCAAAGGAGCAACTTGTAGACATTTTAACTAAAGGACTCATTGCTCCATTGTTTCGTGTTTATTGTAACAATCTCATGCTAAGATCTTCCAAGTATAAGATTGAGGGAGGATGATAGAGATAGGTTGTGTGGCTGAGATTATGCCACTTGTATGAAGATTAGAGAGTCTATTAGTTAGGTTGTTAGAAGAATTGAGAAATGTATAAATGTTGTATAATATACTTGCGTAATAGCTAAGAAATCAATATGCTGAAGTTCTTCATTTTTCCTACTTCTCTCTCTCTCTCTCTAAAATCTCTCGAATTCCTTTTTCTCTCACATTACATTTCTGAAGATTAACAGTTATAAGGTAGTTGGGGTAATGGATGAGGGCTTGAAGAGAGAGATAGGCAGATGTAGCTTGTTTACTACTTGGTGATTCCAGATTTTGCAACTCTTGAGAAACCTCAGTCAAACATAAGTGAAGATTATCGTGTTCGATTAGCTGGAAGTGAAGCTTTCTTGTCTTATCCAGGAAGTTACTTTTTGCAATGCAAGTCATGTTTATCAATTATTTAAGTTACCAGGACATAAAACGTGTAAAATAGCGTAAGTAGATTATTGTTCTTTAAACTATACAACGTGAATCGATCAGCTAAACCATTTTCGATATTTTTTAAGTAGGCTAGAGCATGGACGGCTCCGATCGTCTAATAACAATACATGCTCGAAAAAAATAAATAGAAGGTAGAAGCATAAGATCGAAAGAAGAAACTTGTTAACATCTCTTGTTTCATAATACAAATCATACAAAGAAAATGAAAACTATATATTTGGAGTCGTTATTTATTTAACTAGCCAAAAGTCTAAGGGCACTTAATTGTGCAAGGAACTTATATTAAAGTTTCAGAGAGACGGGCCACTATCAATTACTAAAAACATTGATAGTCTCTACTTAATCACACGTGCAATTAATAAGTATGAGAATTCTATGTAAAAGATCTTGGTGCAATTAGAAGTGAGATCATTTGATATAAGTTGTGATTTATTTTATAAGATAGTCGATGCTGTTTTTTTCTTTTATTTGACACGCCCCGAAAAAACAGGACCACTTTGGAGTGGGCCAAAAGTAGAGCTATACTGGTTATGTTTATAAGTAAAAACAGTAATTCAGACCTAAATCTAAAATCCGTTCTAATTAAAGTTTCAGAGAGACGGGCTGCGACCACACTAATGACATCGAAATTATCTCTACTTAATCACCCGCACATTAATACAAAGATTTTTTTATTCAAAAGGCTTCGATACAGGAGTGAGACTATTTAAATTGTGATTTATTTTATAAGATGACAAATGTGAGACTTAGATCATCTTCATAAAAGCACTCATCCCTCCCCCACAGAATTCCAAACTCAGTCCCCAACCACCCCCAAATGTAAAAAAAGGTAGTTATTGGATTCAGAGTCACGAACCATGGTACTACTTTTATTTAGGCTTTGATGGTCATAATTGGCAGAGGGAAAGTATCTGATTAAGGGTTCACGAACTATTTCGTTTTAGTAAAACTCTGATAATCCACTGGTAAGGGCGCGAATTGCGGCTTCCTAATAAACCAAAAATATGGGAGGTTCCGGGTTTGATGCTCCGAGCTGATAAATCTACTTGACTGTGACCACGGGCAGGATAAATTTCTCCATAACCTCTTCGGGCCCAAAAAGAAAGAATAACCGTGACTTGTCACCAGTTATCCCCTTTTAAAAAAATAAAAAATAAAAAATCAACACAACTCTAAAAGTCAAATAGTCATAGGAAAATCCTAATTGCAAAAGAAATTAAAATAAAATTACAGAATTGCTCAAAAACACTCAACAAACTTTTGAAAAGCTGTTCTAAACCCCTAAAACCTCCAAAAACGCCCAAAAACACGTTGGACTCGTGTTGCCTAAGCCTTTCCCAGCCGAAAAAAGAATCATGGGCCAAATTCAATTACCGAAAAGCCGAAAATACACTACTCCCATCGCTGTTCTAAACCCCTAAACGATGTTCAAACACCCAAAACGTCTTATGTCACAAAAAAGCCGTGTGTTGGACTCATCTTGCCAAACCCTTTCCAAACCAAAACAAGTATCATAGGGCCCAAAAGGAATACCGAAAATCCAAAATACACCAATCACTTCTTTCAGTCCCTCTTCGATACTACACGTACACATTCTCCAATTCCAATTACTAATGTTATCATCATTAAACGGAGCAGCTCTAATGGTCATTATTGAACTGAATCAAGTTGAAGGTTATATGACAGTTTCTACAAAAATTGAGTGCAAGAGTTAACCGCAAATATGCCGAAAAGGGTTTGAAGGAAATTAGTTGCGTCACAAATTAGGTGAAGAACATCACATACGTTATAAACCATTTGCTTAACATTATTACCATGGGCCTTGGGATTAATATTTGAGGCTAGGGCCGTGCCTACCTTTGCTCACAATGTGTCCAAAATCAAACAGAAGGTCAGGCACAATAAAATCGACCAAATCATACGAAGGGCTAATTTGTTCCGTGAGTTTTTCTTTTTCTTTTTTTAAATCATGTACAGTTTCATTGAATTTGGTGATCAGTCTTCCAAATTTTGTTTCTGGTGAATAAATTGGTCTTTGGCATGCATTACAAGCAACAGTTGCCCTGCAGACCTCCAACTTCATGTAATATATATTTGCTCCGAAAACTCCAACTCTTTTGAAGGTTTTTTTTTTTTTTTTTTTTTTACTAATTTTCCATTATTGTCTTGCTCAGAACTTGAGAAACTAAAGATAACATCACACGTTAATTGAAAAAGAGTGCATGATCAAAAAGTCACAGCACAACATCCAAACAACTAATATATAGTAATTAGCATCAGAAAATGGCCATCAACACTGCTTCTCCCAGAACATGCCCTTTAATTGCCTCCAACACCTTGTCCTTCGTCACCTGCAAGTGCAACTCACCCAAATTTTAACATTTGATAAAATTTAAATAAAATAAAAAACTGTTTCTAAAAGGTTTAATATTCTCTTACTAATATTTGCTTAAATCCGAGTCATGCATTAGTGAAGATTTACTTGATCAATCACATTCACAATTTAACAATGTATAAGAATTGATTTAACTAATTATATTGTCACATAGTCGATTCACGTGATTAATCAGATTCACAATTTAACAATATATACGAATTGACTTAACTATTTATGTTGTCAAATAGTCTAACAAGAGAACATAGACCTACAAACATACCTTGTGACCTAGGTGCAGATCATCGTCCAAAGCATAAAGCTTGAACTCGATCCTATGACCATGATTAGGCAGCATGGGCCCACGCCACCCAGGCACCTTCCAATCATTGTTACCTTCTTTGATCTCGCCATACTCACCACCCACCTCCTCTTCTTTACCGGAAAAACTCTCCGGCAGTTTTTTCAGAGTCGGTGGAATGTTCACCACAACCCAATGCGTCCAAGGCACGAGAGGACCCTTTGGGTCGGGTGCGTCAATGTCCTGTACAACTAGGGCTAGGCTCTTGGTCCCATGTGGCAAGTTGTACCATTCTAAAGGGGGAGATATGTTCTTTTTTGCTCCTTGACCTTCTCCTGTGTATTTTCTGGGCAACCTTCCTTCATGGTCTATTTCGGGTGATGTCAATCTGAATTCGTCGCCGGAAGCCATAGCTCTTTTGGTTTGTGCATATGCACTTTGATGATTTATATGGCTATTTTTAGCTACGAGCTTTATACAGATCTGGTTTTTGGGTGCACAAATATTAGACACGTCTCTGTGAAGAAGTTTCGTGTTGGCGATAGAAGGTGCGTGGTGTATCATGATGTGACACGTACGATGACATGTGGAGCCTGCTGGAGTCTTCCATTTCTAAGAGGCCATTATTCGTGAAGAATATGTCAGATTGAAGTTTTACCATAGAAAGCCCTTCTATCTTTTACTCGAATTTATTCTCAAGCTTTTTAAATGAGCAAACTAAATTAAATAAAACGTGAAGTATGTGTAGTCGTTAACTAACATGCGAATAACCTACTCTAATGTCATAAATTTTTAGGAAAATCAATGAAAATAGTTTGAAAATTTTGAGTTTTAACGATAAGGACAAAATAAATGGTAAAGTGAATAATACTAGGATTGACTTTTTAGTATAAAAATATGGTTTTTCATTAAAATGAACAGTACCGGAAGCTTTTCGTTAAAATTTCTTAAATTTTTTGAAGCTCCACTATAATACACATCAATGCCTAATGAAAGAGTGTTTCAGTCTTATGTGATCAACCTCCAAGATATATCGCGAAAGCAATTTCGGAGGAGCTACCGATTGCTGCCTTCATGGTTCAAAATTGTATAGTTGGAGCTGTCAGCAACGATGATTATTTTATACAAAAATCATATAAACTGGGAGTTATTGGTTTATCGCCTTATCAAAAGATAACAACCGCGTTCTAAATGATAGCATATGCAAATGTCTTATGTGACGAGTAGTGGAAAATGACGAAAAGCACGACCATAAATACCTTACAAAAATTTCCGTCATGTTACAATACCCATCGCACAATTCAGTTGGCATTTCATTTAGAGCGCAAATGTCTTTTGATAGAGTGATAACGGCATAACTTCTAGCGCATCTGGTCTTTGTACAAAATATTACGTAGGCGCACTCGATAGCGCCCCCAAAATCTCTCATCGGAATATCATGGAGCTTGATCATCACCTAGACCTAAGCAATATTTCATTAGGGTTGACGTGCATCATGTTGATCTGTCCATAAATAATTTTTCAGTGGTTTGACAGTATGATCTTCTTCAACAAAAATATCATACAATTGATTCACCATAATCGTTGTTTCCATGTCTTTACCTTTTGAGCTTTCATCACTGTAAAATAGTTGTTAGGATTCCTAAAGAACTGAAATGAAAGAAACAAAAAAAAATCAATGAAAATGTAGACATGGATTAGAACATTGTATTTTTTTATATATCTCAATTGGTTCATGCATGAATTGTAAGAAGTAATTAGCAATCAACAAGCTACTAGCATCACAGGTATAACAAATAGAATTACAATAAATCAATCAAACAATTAAAAAGAAAAACAAACTTAATCTACCGAAGAGGAGGAAGAATAAGCCATGACTGTTAGGGTTTCGAAGGGAGTCTTATGCAAACAACAGCCGATAATCCTTGTTATAGAATACGGTTTTTAGCATTGATCAGGATGATATGAGTACAGAGACTACCTATTATAGTGATGAGTCTCCTTATGATCCGGCCTATTACTAATTAGTAAGGATTTGCCAAATCATAAGATAACATTAGAGTTTTAAATGATATTGATATCTTGTCTAACCACATAAGTCCCTTTGGTTAGTTGCACAATAAGGACTCCAAATTTTAATTAAAACGAGATTATGTAATTTCCTCAACACCAATTAACTCATTAGCCAAGTTAATGAATTGGAAAGAAATCGATAAATATATTCATTGACACTCACATGCTTACATGAATGTGTCTTGAATCCAATTAAGTTATACTCAATAGGATATTATCGTTTTTATGAGTAATGCTATGTAAATCACATATTTATGTTACATTGGTGGTATCTCTAGCATTTTTTTATTTTATTTCTCAGATGGTTCACTTTAATTTAAGAGTCTTGGCTGTTTTAATTGAATTCATAATATCTTGCCCTCTGTTAAATACGATTTTTTTTTCAGTAAAACCATCTGACTACGTAGATTGTTCGATCAACCTCACAGAGCAATGAGATTATATATGTTTTAGTTTCGTCAAAGTCCACGCTGACCTTGCAATAGAGTTGCCTAGCTTCCTCAGATGAGATCCTAGATCTTGGGCTTCGTAGGGTTTCTATATTCATGAAAATTGGGCTAGTCCGATCCAAGAATATATTTAACCATGTCAATTCCTCCCAAAGTTTCTGATTTTGTGATTAGATTAGACGAAAGAAAGAGAGAGACCAAATAAGAGCAGGGAGTACGTTATATAGCTTCAAACTTCACAAGAAGAAAAAAGAAAGATTAGGAGGTATGTAATTTGCAATTCAGGGCCGAAGGGGTAGAGGAAGACCTAGGAAAACTTTGGAAGAGACCCTAAGAAAAGACTTAGAGTACTTGGATCTAACGGAGGACATGACACAGGACATAACACAATGGCGTTCTAAGATTCATATAGCCGATCCCACTCAGTGACTTGGATTTTCCAAGTCTCCAACCGAGAAGTTTTCCTCACTCGGGAAATTAAGGGAACACTACCTCAACCTACATGCTCCACTCACAAAGCTTCAACATACAAGCTTCAACAAAAGAAAATTCAAAGAACTTAGCGAAAAAGGTTTTGGTGTATTTAACACAATACGTTGAAATGAAGGAAAGCTTATTTATTGATATCCCCGATAAGTTACAAATATGTACATATACATGAGTCAAAATAAACAAACAAGAGGGAGCCTTCACAAAGGTTGCTTAGGAGAAGTCTCAGCAGTCGGTAGAGCCCCAGAAAGAGAAGGCACCGGAGGGGGATCATTCGGAGCCTCAGTACTGGACAGAACCCTAAAAGGAGGAGGCATCAGAGGTTGATCATTTGGAGCTTCATTACGCGGTACAGCCCCAGAAGACGAAGGCAATAAATGCCTTTGGAACAAACCCACAAATCTCTGATGATCAAGTAAAACCTGACCATCAGATTCCTTCATCTGGTCAAGCTTCCTCTTCATGTTTGTAGCATAGTCATGTGCGAGCCGGTGCAACTGTTTATTCTCATGCTTGAGCCCTCTAATCTCCTGTTTGAGACTCATCACTTCAGCCGCCAATGATTCAACTTGGCGGGTTTTAGCAAATAGGCGTTGGGCCATATTAGATACAGAACCTGCACACTGAACACTGAGAGCCAGAGAATCCTTAACAGCCAACTCATCAGACCGTTTGGAAAGTAGTCTGTTATCTTTGGGAGTGAGAAGGTTTCTGGCCACTACCGCAGCGGTCATATCATTCTTCATCACGGAATCCCCAACGGTAAGAGGACCAGTAGGGGAGACGAAGGATGGGCGCCATATGTTGTCTGGAGAAGGCGGGGCTGCCTCTTCAACAAGGTTCAAGTCAAAACGACGGTCGGAGGGGCCAGACATTTTCAAAGGTGTTGAAGAGAGAAGAGGTCGAACAAATCAAGATCTTAGAAGTGCAAGAATGGAGCTTCTACTGGTGGAGATTCAAGTGTGTTTTGGAACTTAATGTCAGCCCCTATAAAAATCTGCACTCGGCGAAGCTTCAGAAATCGAAGAGGCGTTTGCTTTCTCAAAAGCTGGGCTGCTCAGAGACCACGATGGTCGATCTCAGAATTCGAAGAGGCGTTTGCTTTCTCAAAAGCTGGGCTGCTCAAAGACCACGAAGGTCGATCTCAGAAATTGAAGAGGCTTGCTTTCTCAAAAGCTGGGCTGCTCAGAGACCACGAGGGCCTATCTCAGAAATCGAAGAGGCACCTACTTTTCCAGCCTTTTCAGCACCTGTCAAACGCACACTCAGCTTTGCGGAAATTATGGGCATTCTGTCGAAGATTTCTGGTGAAGTAGAAAGCACATGAATCGTACTGTTCAATCACCCACTTCCCACACGCAACATTAGCTCATGGGTACCACATATAACTTTGCCAAAGTTCTCTGACAAAGTTGAGACACGTGAAGCTAGCAGCTCCCACTACATCGCTCTGACCAAGAAGGGTAAAAGAATAGCAAAGAAACAACACTAACAAAGTTTAGACACATAAATTTTGAAGGTCTAGCTACCATATTATTACCCACAAGGGTAAAGGAACAGTACCACTGTTGGATAATTGGAAAGTCCCGGTGTGTCAACCTCTGTGCTTCGTGGCAAGGTAGACTAGCAAACATGCCCAACCTTTACTTACATTCGATAAAACACTCCCAACAAGATTGCTTGCTCCAAAATCGAAGAGGCACCGCCCTCCGAATCTCGAGAGCCAGACTCCCAACATGATTACTTTCTCAAAAATCGAAGAGACACCGCTCTCCGAATCTCGAGAGCCAGACCCCCAGCAGGATTGCTTTCTCAAAAATCGAAGAGGCATCGTTCTTCGAATCTCGAGAGCCAAATCCCCTACAGGATTACTTGTTCGAAAACCGAAGAGGCACCACTTTCTCAACTTCAAGAGCTGGATCTCCTTGGATAAAGCTTGTCTGTAATCTTCACACGCAACATCAGCTTTCCAGATACCACATACCACTTTTTCAAAGTGCTTTGACAGAGTTAAAACATGTGAAGCTGGCAGCTCCCACTACCGTGCTATGACCAAGCAGGGTAAAGGAATAACATTATTACTTGATGTTAGGGAGACTCCTATATATGTCGACCTTCATCCCCAACGGACAGGCAGACTTGCAAAAATGCTCAACCCTTCCTCTTATCTGAGAGGGCACTCCCAACGAAGCCTTTCGAAATATTCAGCTTTCTTTCCCCCCCCCCCGATAATACCTCTGTAAACAAGCTATACTAGAGCAAGAATATCTCATATCATCAGGGTTAAAAGCAAGAGTATCACATATCATGCTTTTTCCCTGTCTTTTCCTTTGGCCTTATTCTTACCTGCAAGACAAAGAGAAAGAGAGCAATCAGTCAGCACTTGGAATCAAGCTTCCAGCCAGGAACTGACTGCCTGGAACCCCTTACCTGATTACTTACCTGGCATTGCTCTCGAGTACTCATCTTCAAC